TATATATATAATCCTGTTTGTTCTAAATGTTTTGAGATATTAGCTTATTCTCATACAATCTCAAAATATTTTTAATGTATTTCGACGGTCATTGAATCCACCTCTTGAAAGCAGAGTAATACAACGATGCGTTCAAATGCAAATGGAAAATCTGAACTGATTTAATATGTATATCGTAAAAATAGTTAACTATGAAGTTCTAAACCCTAAAGACTAAATGCTATCATCACTAAACCGTGAAATGTTCCAAAGGAAACGAAAATGTAAATAAACGAGTGGTTATAAGAGTGAGCTTGTTTCAAAAAAAAAAAAAAAAGGAAGGAAACGAGCAACTTTTACAAGGACACGTGAACGCAGCAAGGGATCAAACGTTGCAGGCAGTGCAGTTTTTTTCGCGGGGGAGAGCAGTCTGGTCACCATGGGAGACGGAGACTGTTGAACCTGCTTTGGGGGAGCGTACCACTTCACCGAGGGCGGGGGTCCCACTTCAAACAGGTCTAAACTAGTCTTTGTGTGCGTGTTATCGTCTAATTCCTCCTGTTAAAGTAAGTTCCAGGTTAGTTCGGACGCATAAAGCGTGTTAAATGATTTCCAGAGACAGTTTACTTAGCTTAATGTTTCTGCGGCGGTGGTTTAGTCGGTAATGGTGGGACCGGAGTACGTACGGTGTCTGTACGGGACGGGGGGAGTATTTTCCTCTCGAGTCAAGTGTTTCAGATAGTCAGCACCGTGTGCGTGTTTTCTTTAAACCCGGTGCCAATTTGGTCTCTTTTCTTTTCCACAACAGGAAACTATCGAGGTGGAGAGCGAAAATGTTTTCAAGTTAGCCGCTTTCGCATTGCAGGTAAGAAAGAGTTTTTTTCGCAGGCAGGCAGGCAGGCAGGCAGGCAGGCAGGCAGGCAGGCAGGCAGGCAGGCAGCCCCTCCTGGCTGGATGTCACTCACCTTCCTGTGAATGAGGACGGACCGTCAGGGCACAAAACATTTAAAACATGTCGTGTTTTTAGTCGGTGAAAGAAACTTAGCTCTTTTGAGTGACATTGACCTCTAAAATCAGCTTGTTGTTAGGTATGAGTGAAGTAGTATTCGTGGTAAATATTGTTAACATTTAGTCCAGTAAAGCTCTTTGCTGATAGCTAATGTTTAACATCATTAATTTGCATGAGCACTGTTTTTAATAACGGAACTGTTTTCCCATGTTTTTAAGGAGGCCAAAGGAGATTATACCAGGTAAGCACTTTTTATTTACACAAAAAAACTTGCTGATATTTGCTTTGTAGTTTTTTTCTTACATAAATTTGACTTCATTTAGAGTACATATTGCATGATAACAGTTTCCTTAGGAAAACCTGATTTCACAGAGTCACCAAATAGTATTTTAATCTTTTTTTTAGGTTTTGTTTTGTAGCTCGGATTTAAAGAAAACAAACAGTTTTAATTGGCCTCATTTTGCATTTCAATACAAATTTTGCTCAATTTCTGGTAGGTTTTTGTGGTGCTTTAAAATGAAGCAACATTTCAGTCTCTGTGTATTAACCTGGCTGTGCTTTAATTTACAACTTGACTCACTCAGATTTCATTTAGAGTTCAACCTCGCTCAGTTAATAATTGCCTGGATTTTGTTTGTGACATTGAACCAAACCTTGCTGCTATCCACACAAACCACATTTTTCTTGTAAAGCCTGAACTGTGCTGCTTATTATCACGGAGACTCCCAAGAGCCATATGTTGAAAAAAAAAAGTTTCCTCAGTTTAGGAAACCATGCACATGGATTTATTTACAAGTTGTCCTCATAATTTGATTTAATCACTGTTGTATAAAGTACCACAAAGTGACACTTGAGTAAAAGTACAATTATCTTACCAAATACATTTACTTTGGTAAAAGTTAAAGTATCTGATATCTTTTGTACTTGACTACTAACAGTAAAAATATTGATTTAAAATGAGCAGTTAGATTTTCTGTAATGACATTTATTAGGAGGTGACCTTCCCAAAAAAAAATGCAGAAATGACTTTTATATTAATAAAATGTTTAATTMATGTTAAATTTAGGATGCACTAGTCCAGCAGTTTCAGTTTATATACATATATCAAGGCTGCACAAATATTTTCCCCAAAATGAAAATCTGAGGGCTGTAGCCAAAGTATGCAGTAAAATAATTCATGAAATACAAATACTTCTTACAGTCCTTTTATTTTAATYATCATGTCCTGCTGGAGTGTGACATGATTTGTTTGTGTACAAACTAATACGGTATCAGAATTTTATTTATTTATACTTCTTATTCGACCACAGTTAAATTCACTCTGTCTATGAGGTACACTTTATATGGAGAGTATTTATTTTTTTACAAGCTGGAAAGAAAACAAGCAAAAATGAAATAAAAGTTACGACTTTCTACTTCTTGTCTTTTTTAAAAATGCAAGGCGTYGAAAGCACGGACAGATAATTGTGTGAAAATGTAAGAAGTAGAAGTAAAAAGTAGGCTGAAAATAAATTACTAAAATAAAGTACAGATACCCAAAAATTCTGCTTAAGTACAGTAAGAAATTATTTGTACTTAGTTACTTTACAAGTCTGAATTTAATCCATGTGTACAGATTTGCTGAAGGAGAAGTTTCAGATCATTATTTCGATTAGGGTATAATATTGTTTCTTGAATTTATAGCTTCTAACGAAGTTGTTGTAAGATTACACATCATCTATTCAGTAACAGTACACTTCAGCCCAGTTTTAATCAAGTATAGCCATACTCTGAGCTGAGTGTGCTTCTGGTAATTATCAATATTCTTTGAAATTCTATAACATTTCATATTTCTAATTTAGCTCTGGTAATAATATTAAGCATGACACAGCTGAGAAGTGGTTAGCATTGTCGCCTCACAGCGAGATGGTTGCAGCTTTTTTTCCAGCCTTTCTTTGTGGAGTTTGCATATTCTCCCCATACATGTTAGGTACTCTGTTGTTGTTAGGTGTGAGTGTAATAATTGGTAGTTTGTCTCTATTTATCCCTGTGATGGACTTGCAACCTGTTTCGGGTGTACCTTGCTTCTGATATATTGACTGCTGGAGATAGGCACCAGCTCCCCTCAACCCAGAAAGGAGATGTGGGTAAAGAAATTTAATGGATGGGTGGATAGTGGATAGTCAGTACTATTATTAGAGGTGGGAATCTTCAGGGACCTCATTATTTGAATCGGAGGGCTGGGGTTATACAATTATAGAGATTGTCAGTGTTTTTTAATTATCTTAAAACCTGAACTTGACTTATTTTGCATAAAACACTGTGGAGATTTCTGTGAGGAAAAGAAGAAAATGATGTTAAAACACACAGCATAACATTATTTGTTTGTTTGTTTGTTTTTTTGTTTTTCAACAGGAAGCTTCAGTATCACCACTAGGACAAATGGCACTGTGCAGCAGTTACTCTGCTGACACAGGTTAATATTAAAGGGATCCCTGATTAGTTGTAACATTAGACTTTATTTGATAAACATATATAATAACTGTACAATAAAGACTGTAAAAATACTGTAGGATGTTTACTTTTGTAAATTTTTTAAAATATATTTTAACACGGACGGAGCCATTTTATTTACGGGTAAATGATGARGTGGATAGGTCCTCGGTGTGAGCGAGCTATATCCACCCTGAAGGTTAATCTTGGACAATATCTGATGATCGACTCTTTTAAATGAAACCAGAGAGCGTTGACAGAGAGGAGAAGGTAGAAATGACTCAGCCTGTAACTGAAAATATGGATGGAGGACAACAGAGCTGCTTCATGGAAGAAGAACCTCAGCTTAGCCTGTTAGCCTTTGTGCTAGCGCTGACACTGTATTGCCTTATATGTATTAGCTCAGCGCGACAAACAAGCTAAACTGAGGTCCTCCATCCATATTTTCAGTTACAGCTGAGTCATTTTTGCGTTCCCCTCTCTGTCATGTYGATGGAGGACCTCAGTGACGAGAGGAGAATGTGTAGCGCTGAGCTAATACATATATATGGTGATAGCATCGAGGCTAACGCTAAAGCTAACAGGCTAAGCTGTGGTTCTTCTTCCATGAAGCAGCTCTGTTGTCCTCCATCCATATTTTCAGTTACAGGCTGAGTCATTTCTACCTTCTCCTCTCTGTCAACGCTCTCTGGTTTCATTTAAAAGAGTCGATCATCAGATATTGTCCAAGATTAACCTTCAGGGTGGKTATAGCTCGCTAGCAGCCTCGCACCGATGACCTATCAACATCATCATTTACCCAGAATGCTTRGRGTGTAAATAAAATGGCCCTGTCCGTGTAATGTATTTTTAAACTTTTATTTTAAAAATGATAAAAACTGAACATCCTACAGTATTTTACAGTCTTTATTTTACAGTTAAAATATATGTTTATCAAATAAAGTTGAATGTTACAACTAATCGTGGATCCTTTTTAAAAAAAAWTTGACGTTTGAAAATCAGAATCTTCCATGTAATTCAATGCATCTAAAAATACTACAGATTTTATCCACTCCAACATCGTCTTACTCCTGTTGTTTTGTTTTGTTGTCCAACTGAAAACTCCTGCTGCAGGTAAACATTGGTGTTGGTTCAAATCTATGCTTGTGGTTTACTCAACAAAGGGATTGGATCAGAGTCTTAAGACCCTGGCTCCTGGCGAGCTCTACATCATTGTCTGTTAAGGCAGATGTGATGTGTTTCTACTTTCAACATGTGGAACACAGTCAGTTCTTTTTAGAAGTTGTGATTTCATCAACTCTTACTAAATGTCATGAACCATGATCCGTGTCATGTCTAAACAATACATACGTGGTTTGTTTGATGGCACCGYTGTGAGATTCTGTCCAAAATCCTCCATGAAAGGGTGAAAATGTTTTCACAAAGGGCCTTGCTTTCAGAGACTTGACCTCTTTAAGGTTTGCAGTTTTGCGTTCCCCAGTCGTGGAAGTAAAGGGCACAAGRTGACATTAGGTAAACACTGTCCTGGCTGAGACAGTGACTGATCAGGTTAAAGTTGTCGAACCTGTGTTGTCTCTGTGCTGCCAAAGGCCTCTGTCCATTATATACACACACACAAAGATTTGTCCATTGTAAGGCGTAGTGTGTGGATAGTTTGAAAGGTGATATATGCAATGTTAAAAAAGCCCTCTTGTTAAATCATGGCCTTTGTTCTTTTATAAAAAAAGAAAAAAAAACAAAGTATGATTTGATTGAGCTCAGTACACTATTAGTCACATAGGATCTATCGATTTATTGCTGTTTATTACAGACCTTGTATAGTTCTCTCAAGTGTTTTATTTTATTTATTATTTTTAACTATAAGCTGTGAACTTTCACTTTATGTGGGTGTGGGGATGGGCCGCACTTTGTCCTCACTCTGAAAGCACAATGAAAGACAATAGGACAACAATTCAAACAAAAACTGGGATTTGAGAGGATTGGAGTGTTTCCAAATCTGGCTTTCTGTTTTTGTAGAGAACTTTTTATATTTTTTAAGTGTGTTGTTTCTTGTCTGACGGCTATTTTGGCAGTATAATCTGTTTCATTCTTTAGCATTATAGATAAAAATGTGTCAAAATAATGTTATTTTCTCCTCCTTTGATTTAGGTTGTGTAAACGACTCAGTTTTGTAGCAGTATTTTTAATCTCTGTTGGAGATCTTTATTTTCTTCAAAGAGAAAACAGAGTATCCTCCATGAATCATATAAAATAAATGTGTCTCCTCTTCCCTGTTATCAGCAGTAGATCAGCTGTGGAGGAGTCAAGGAGGTCTCCTCCTACAGTCAGCTGAGCCAGACCTTCTGTCCAATCGCAGACAACGTGGCGTCAGTGGGGGCTCACTGTAGTCATGTTATTGTGTTGGTGTTGGCCAACCCCCTGCTGGGCATTAATGCACCATCAGGTTTCTCATTGTACTTCTGCCATGCAAGAATTCCCTTTGCTAAGTCAGTATTGCTTTTTTTGTCTTACATTGTTTTGCCTCTTCACACTTTATTGCTGTTGCTTTCACCACCTGCACCCAGTGCAGCTTGTTGCAGTTGCTCTCTTGGGTTTAATAAGAGATTATAGAAAATGTAGATCACTGGTGATTGATGACTTTAATTATGCCTTAACGTTTAAAGAGCTACTAGGGGATTTTTTTCTTTTTGTCTTGTTTAATTGCAATCACTTTCAAATGTAAGCTTCAGACGCGTGTTTGTTCCGCTGTTTATTATCTGCATGTAGTTTGAAACGAACTTGAGTGCCAGTCGTATTCAAAACTTCCCACACATMAAACAGCATTACACCCAGTTTTCATCCACAGATCTATTTGCAGGTGTGGCCTGTAATTAGTGGTTCATTCACAACTCTCTCATTGTGCACCCTCCAAAGTCCCCGAGTCTCAGCCCTGTGGAATAACTGACACATGAGTATTATCTCTCCCACACTGGGTAGACTGAGCTGGGCTGGGCTCTGCCGGGTGTAGGAATTGCCCTCATGCTGCTAGAAGATAACAGACGTAGTAATGAATTCCAGACTGCTGACACGACAGCACGGCTGCAGAGTAGATCACCCCAACAACACCGAGGCCTAGCACCCCATTAAAAAGTATGCCATCAAACATGCAGCCAAGTGCCGTGGCTGCAAAACCCAGTCAACCAAGGCGAAGGAGCTGCAGAGAAGATTGCCCTTATAGTAGCTTACTCTTGAGTTTCTTTAGTAAGCTGGTTCTTTATAACTGGATCATTGTGATTCTGTCTTACTACGTCAGAAGATGTTAAATTTGATTGGTTTTCTATAGTCATAAAGCTAACCTGTCCCATCCAATTATCCAATAGTTTTATTGGGTTACATTTTTTATTGGTTTAGCAATGAAATTTTCAAATTAACATGGTCTGACCCTTCATTAAAGTCTTGTCTGAAAAGCCACAGGTTCCCCAAAGATAGGGTCAGTCCAAGACTAGAAAGCACCAAGTGTTGTTAAAGTGCTTTTGATCTTCAGTGAACATCACAGCCATGTTCATTCAGAAAGTGTTATGGTCTGTGGAAGTGTGGAGTCAATGTCCTCAAACAAGCAGGGTGCTTTTCACATGGGTCAAAGAAATATTCATGTCATCTCTAGGTTTCTCAACCATTTTGAAGGCTTGTAGTTGATTGTTTAGACATTGCTGGCTTGACTCAATGAATTCAGCTCATAAGACTCACATGTTAATGTTGATGCTATGGATGGCTAAGGTGGAAACACAGCTTGCCCACTGATGTAAAGGTTTCCGTTCCGTGTGTGGCCTCTCCATGTGTTGAGATGTCTTTAAACTCAAAACTAAATTCCAGTTGTAGCGGAACTTCAATTTCTAAAGCCGGACTGACGTCATATCTGAGTTCAAAGCTTTCCAGTTTCAAACTTGTCAGAACGTGGGAAAAAGCATTTCTATTTTTTTGCACTTACACTTACAATAGTGTTCTAGGAGGCATTTTGTGTGAACAAACAGCGTTAAATTATATCTCCTAATAATCACTWTAAAGTACCACAAGTACGACTGGCTCAATGTAAACAACACAGAACTGCTAAAAACCTTAAAAGTAAAGAGTTTAACTCTCTGTTGATGCGAGGAGCAGCCATGTTGAAATGATGACATAACGCATGCTCAGGTATGGTCGTGTTGCGCCAACCTCTCGACTCAAAACTARGTCGGAGGGGCGTTCCAGTTGAAAATTACAACTCGGGACTGCGAAATTACGTCACCTCTTGAGGACAACTGGAACGCAGCATAAGCTCCATGCTCCTCAGAGACAGAGGTGGTCATTCTGACTTCTGAACTGTATGTAGAGATAACACAAATAAACAAGATCGATACTAGTTTATGAAATGATTATTAGGCAGTAGGCACAACATGTTTCTGTGTAAAGTTTAAATGTTCTCACCTTGCATGAAACCATTGTCTGTTTTTTGCTAAAACATGGAGATTTTGCAGGTGAGAGTAACAGTTCTTGTTGCCATCTTCACTGAGGTTAAATTAATATGTTYTACTAATTTAACTGTGATACACAGGAAAATTTCATGAAGAATGTTACAGAAGAGAGCAGACAAGAACTGGCTTTGAAACATTTCTCCTGAAGCTCTTTGGAAAGCTCTTGATGACTTAAAAGCTTTATGTGTCTTTATAAATGAGACTTGGAAAGACATGAGTAGAAGTCTTGGCAGGCAGCCATTTCTTTACACTGTGTATAAAAACTTTAAAACCATTTCCTGACACCACACCTTTTCTGGAAAGGTTTGCAGATCTGTGGCTGCTGCCATGACTAAAGATAGAAATACAAAGCACACTGAAAGTTGAACATATGTTCTTTGCACAATTTTAGACTTTTCTTTCGAATTTTTTTATGTAAACATTTACCTTTGTGGTCCTCATGTTGGTATTGGTCTTCCATTTTTGGATCACAGCAGCATATTACAGACTGACTGAGGTCTCCCGCATACTTACGACAACTTGAGCTTTAATAATGATATCTGTTGGCAGACCATAAGTTAAAAGTGGATACATGGTCAAGTGTTTTTGTTACTCTTCCTACCGAGGTGGAAAAATAATAAAAGAAAATAAAAAAAAATATTGAAAAGAAGACAGAAATTGTGAATAAATTTGAATTTCATTTTAAAGCTGTGTTTTTATCTACCAGTGCTGAGGCTGCCCGATCAGACCTGAAGTTGCTTCCAGTACTGCCCACCAGAGTGCTAAAGGAGCATCCATCTCTCAGTTACTGGTAAGCGCTCTCACCCTGACTGGTGTCAGAAAAGCAGTATTTTTTTTTCATTAATGTGCTATGAAATTCAGCTATTTCTGCTAAGAACTGTTAATAYTGAATTGAATTTTATTTAATTTCTTGAAAGATAGGTAAATTTACCATTATGATTTTTATAATTTACAATACTAATCAAAAAGGAATTGCTCTGTTTTACTAGTAAGTTTAGTTCTCACCAAATTACATACAAATGAAGATTAAAATTAAGCTAAGCTCGAAGCTGCCATCAAGTATGCAGCTGCAGAAACAAACGCCTAACACTGTCAAACTGTTAAATACAGACATCTGATGCTGTTTCAAATCAACAGGACTGTTTCAGTTACATGATTATATACAGTATAATGTTCACAAATAATGTAGCCTTCATAAACATCTTGTTGTTCTTCTCTAATAAACTGGTCTTCCAAAACCACTTCATAAAGTGGGAAACCTTAGCTTATACAAATTCGTAGCTAATTAACTATGCATATTTTTACTATATTTTTACTTTTATAAAATTGTATGATTTTACAAATGTCTTGAGTATTTTTGTTAAATTGTGTATAATTAACATTAATGCACAAAATCAGATAATTTATGTTCTTATTGTATGCCTGTTAAAGACAGAAATGTAATAGTAAAGTCTCTCTTGTCCTGCCCATAACCTCGGATCTGCTGAAGATAATAAAACTTAAAAGACATTTTTAGCACCACTAGACATCATGTTACATAATCTTATCGTAACCCCAGCTCCTAAGGGCAAGGTCACAAATCAAGGTCTTTATATGATTATGTATGTTGTTTGCTTGTTTGAGCACTGCTGTATATGTGTTTGTCGATGGGCGTATAATGTGCCGTATTCTCTTGTTAAAAGATATTTGCTTCACAGCCCTACATGATTTGTGACAGGGAAAGGAATGGTTTGGTTGTTCCTAAGTAGCCCAGAGTTCATTCAGTGRCACAGCTCTTATTACATAACACTCAGCATCAGTTCAAGTTTTAATTAAGATTATTGGATTGGTATCAAATGGCTGGACCAGTATCAGCAACTGTTATTTCATTTAATTATCATTTAAATGGTCTTTTAATATATGTTTTATTTAGCAAAACAGAATTTCATATCTGGAGAAATTAATTTCACTACTCGGCTATACTTTACGCACAAGTGTGTAATCATACAGGAAATTAAGAGCAAAACAATCACAAAGACAAGACAGTGTGGTCTTCCTCTTTTGATTTTTTGTAAAACAAAAAAAACTGATTAGCCACATTGAGCTTGATAAAAAAAAAATAAATTGGAGAATTAATCAGATCACTCTTGAAATGTTTATGATRCAGCAGTCAGATCTCTGGCATCAGTAATGCTATTACTACAAGGCCGTCATTGTCAGAGGCGCTAAGGTGCTTACAGACCTGTTACTTGTATGATGAGTTCTTCTCCTGGGGGGCGGGGGGACTACTGAGGTGGATTCTGTTAATTGCATTTACTCATTAGCTTTTTGAGGACACTGGGAGGTGCTGACAGCAGATAATTGTCTCTCCAGTCTACGCTTCACTGCCTGTTTCTGTCCTTTTTCATCTGAGGCTGCTGCTGACTCTTCAGCTGATAAATCTGTTCAACAGCCTAATTAAATTACAGTTGTACGGAGCATCATTCACCACATCATCATACATCCGTCTCTATCTTTGCGTCTGTTTGGATGCAGCGACATGTCACTGTGCCATTTAAAAATGATTACAGTGGGAAGTGAATGGGYAGACATTTGCATGCTTGGTAGATGAAAGTTATCAGCAGCCCAGTGGGCCAGACTGCARTTTCTGCATGAGCGGGCAGCCTGTGTGTCAAAGAAAGAGCGCTCTCACACAGTTCCTCGCCAGTAACAATGTGTCACACTTGGTGGATTTTTTTTCATTAAATATTTTGTTTTCATCCACAGTGAGGACAAAGTGATTGAACATTACAAGAAACTGAGCGGACTGACCAGAGGACAAGCTATTGTGCAGTAAGTTTTCTAAGCAATTATTGTAACTAAACTGAAAATAAACTCATGTCCCGTGTTGCTTCTGACTTCAGAGTTCTTTCTTTAGAGTCTGCATCAGGTCTTTAGCTGTCTGTGTCTGCTCTGCGGTGACGGATGTCGTAAGATGTGGCTGTCACCTTGCCAGAATGGGTCATTAATTAGAAGAGATGCTCCTGTAGTAGGCAYCCTGCCAGCAGTGGGAGGGTGTGAGTCCTCCACCGTGTTTTCCCCAGGAACACATGATTTGTGCCCTTGAACTGATCAATGGACCCGTCTCTCCCTCTGTCACAGCCCTGAAACAAATCGATCAGCTTGCCACTGCAAACCACTGTGGCTTCTCAATGGCTGCAGCTTAAATCCCACTGTGTCAGTTGTAGAACAGCCAMTGGATGACAGTGATGAAGTGTAAATAACTGAATTTGTGTTGACCTGTTCCTCTTTCATTGAAGGTATCTGGCCCTGGTGAAATCCCTGCCCACATATGGAGTACATTATTACTCTGTGAAGGTAACTGCAGCGCCCTGACTCTCACYTTAGCTTGACCTTTTTAACAAACGTGTCAAAACACATTATTCTGTGCTGGATGTGTGAACATTTTTAAAGGCAAAGACTAAAAAAAACATATTCTTTGCTTTTGTATGAGAACAGTTATGTGAATTTTATAAAATTTGCGGATGTGAATTACCAGTTGAAGATGTCTTAAAAGATGATTGGTGTTGAAGRTGCTTATTAAGGCAAAAGTTGATTTTTTTGAAATGTATTTAATTTCTTTTTGTGTTGTGATCCAAATGAGGTCACAGCAATAAAGCTCCTTACAGTGATTTTGATGGGCCCTTTGTGTGTTTTCATGCAGGACAAGCAAGGAATACCGTGGTGGCTGGGAGTCAGCTATAAAGGCATCGGCCAGTACGATTTGCAAGATAAGCTGAAACCTAGAAAGGTAGGCTGTTTGTTCAGCTGCTCTTTTTACCTCCAAGGTCTCTATTTTTATTTGTAAAGTTATAAATTCCTTCAAGTCAAATTACTTAAAATGTATGTTCTATGATTTTATTCTTATTTCTGTTAATAATTCCATAATATTGTCCTTCTGAGACTGACTTCAGGGCGTAGGCTTTGGAAATAATCTTTTCTCACAAGTGATGGTCAACGCTGAAATAATACAATTATTACATGCAATTACATTTATAAAAAAATAAGTTCTACTTAGCACCTCTGAAATGCTTTATTTTACAGTTACAACAGGGCTGTTTTCCCATCACCTTGTGGTTAATGATCCATCATTACCCTAAATAAGTGTAAATAAGATCCGGGTTCCCATGCCAAGAAAAACAGGAATACTGATGGGAACAAATATTTTTGTGTCACTGCGTACTCAGGCCATTCAAGGCTGTTAAATCTAACCACATCTAGGGCTGTGTATTGGCAAGAATTTGGGGATACGATACATATGACAGAGGGGTCACGATACGATATATCCCGATATATTGCGATACTGTAAGCAAGGCAATATATTGCTATTTTTTTGTCCAAAAATTCTATTAAATAAAAACCTCTTACTGGAAAAAAAAAGAACAAACAAAATTCATTGTCTCAGAAAATTCTAATATTACATAGACATACTTTTGATACATTTAGCTGTGTTCTGCTTTGTAT